TTAATAGGTTACCACTGCGTAATGCGCTTTACTATACACCTACTAACAAAGTTATAGTAAGTGTACGTTAGAGTGAAGGCAGACTGTATATAAACAAGTCATCACATTAAATTACTGTGGAAAGGTAGAAAGCTATGACACTACACGTCTATGTTCTCACTAACCAGGCACTTTTTTCAACCTAATTAAAGCTCAAAATTCGAATGACCTTCTGCATCACTAGTTTGGGTATCTTGGAATAGCCTATCAACAGCGTAGATGTAATTCATCGAGAAAATTGATTAAGTATTACTTACTTATCCCTGATTTGTTAAATTATGAATATACAATCATGGTCTGAAACTTTAGGTATTAGTACTATGAAAATTGTCTTCAAGGACTGTATTCTGTGATACAGATTCAAACGCTTTTCTACCAGTTATTGGTGACTAGACAAGAAAATAGCCCATGGGTTTTATAAGTAACAGACACGTTCGTGGTACATAATAAATGATTGTTGAATTGTTTCGCTTTTAGATACGTGAATTATATACGTATAATGCGTGTATACGCTTCGGAAGAGTTTAGTGGCGCTTATTTTTGAAGATATCATGTTTATAATGAACAAAATCAATAGTATATAGAACGACAACAAAGAACCAATTCCCTTTTTATATAATTTTAAAATAATAGAAATATAGTGTGGGCATATAATGATAAATAATACATCCGCTGGGATGGATAGTGCAGTAGAACCCAATGCAATATGGCGTCATTTGTTTACGTTTTTTGCTAACCGCCATGCGAATGTCTGATACAAAATGTCGTTCACTAATCACTCGCTCACAGACTGCCGTAACAATGTCCCATGTGAGTTGTTGTATTAAACCGGAACATACGCAGGTGTATATAATAACAACTGCAATAAACAACGTCATTACTTAAATCATTCAGTCACTGCGCAAGCGTACAAAACGTTTACAAATCATTCTCTTAGTTTCAGAGCTTCGTTTGTTGGTCATTATAAAAAAAAATTGCAAGCTCAGATGTTCTTCTGTGCTGAACACTCATCTGCGTGGAATAATCTCACAGTAACAACATACTATAATACCACAAGACATGTTCAAATGTATTTGACCTTTACCCTTACTGGTAAGACGATTCTCTGGGAAGTCATATATGTAATTTTTATGCGTATATTTATACACTGATGATTTAAGAGAACACATGGAACACTGTAATACTGCTGTGGCGATACATGAGTAAATTGCCGTCGTCGTTAATAATGTATTGTATGTAATGTTAGCATCTCTAGTGGCAACCAAAGTACGTGTTGTGTAAACATAAGCATCTACCGCGGTTTCTGTCCATGAAACCAAGAGGATGGCATATTTATTATAACATTTTTTACTGTGGTCAACACGGGATTACGGTCATAGAAGAATCTCATTCATTATAATAAGCTTGAACGATTTTAGGATAAACTACTAAAGTAGTGTCTTGGTGATATATCGCGATGACGTCATTGTGTAACCGAATAGACGGTAAGGCGTAAGTGTGAACTCAAATTCGTAAACAAAAGTTATCGTAACATCCATGCAGCTGAAAATTTGGAGAATATAAATTAACTATACTAAGCTTAAACAATAAGATGTTTTGGTTAATTTGACGTAATTGGTATAGAAGAGTCAATTTAAAGAGCAAAAAAACGTCGATAGAATATTTGCACGCGTGAATTTTTGGTGCACTGAATACATTTAGTCGACGCATGCGTAAATCGGTATCATAATATACTAACATCCAGGCATTCCAGGCACGTGCATTCACGCATACCGGAAATGTGGCCAATATGGCCATTGACGCAGGTATGGCCGCCCAGTGAACACATGATCATACCATTATTTGAGCTTGTTTTGTGGTTCATAATGCAACAATAAATTAATACATGTATGTGGTATGATGTTTGTCATTCAGACCGTAGCAGCGTATCTGCGTGCATGCCACTGCTACAGCTATTTACTTTGCATCATTCATTCATTCATTCAACCATTCATTCATTCATTCATTCATTCATTCATTCAACCATTCATTCATTCATTCATTCAACCATTCATTCAACCATTCATTCATTCATTCTAGTCAATACTAAAACGGGATTGATTTGCGGACCCCTGAAACAAAAACAAAACATAAAAAAGGCAGAGTAACGTCAGTAAATAGGTCTAGGAATATCAAATGTATTGCGTAACTGTGACATTGAACTTAGAACTTCATTACATGCTACAATTCACCATTAACAGCTTTTTGTTGATAAAGATCGAAACCCTGTGACCCTCATTGAACTTGGTGTGGATTAAATTTAATGAATGCCATCAGTTCAATCAAGTGTCACGTATCATCTACCGATTTCTCACAGGATTTGTTTCGGTCGGCGAATTAATGCTAGGATATACAGCGTAATTTGTTCTCAGTTATATCAGTTAACGTACCCTCACATCAGGAACTGATGTCATACGGATGTACGCGTCTCGGGAAAAGTGATAAAAATGTCTGTATTAATAGTTCCTGTATGAATGATTTAAACATGAAAAATAAATAAATATGCTGAAAGCGGGGCGTATGTAAAATTGTTAAAACCAGTAATATGTAAAAAATATTGATTAAAACGCAATTTTACATGTAATAGCCCCAACAAATCAAGAACACCTGTTTGCCAGAACAGCCGATTGTGTAATCTGAAGGCGGGTAACGAATTGCACTAGTGTTATACTATATCTTGTTATTTACCAGTTGTGTATTTATTTCAGTTGCCCTGTGGCGGTGTGTATGATGGTAAATTATTACATAATGTTCACTTCGAAGCATATTTATGTTGAATTTAAATGCAAAAACAAATGTATAAACCGTTATTAATGTCCTATGCAAATTACTTAATTAACGCTTAATATACAGTCACAATATTATTTATGGTTGATTTCCACCATGCAATTCTTTTGTTAGAACGTGCGCTACTTTATAAAAAGTCGATTTCATTATAACGGAATTTACTTTGTTTCAGTCCCTACACTAACGTAATCAAATGTTTTATTCTCGTATTCCAGGTAAATTGAGTCCATTCCTGGAGCGTACCACAGCACATGCATCCGTGTTAACGCTGGTCTCCGTCGCCATTGAGAGATATTACGCGATCTGCCACCCTCTCAAAGCTCAATACAAGTGTACAACTGGGAAAACCATAAAGATATGCCTTCTGATATGGATCATAGCCAGCTTGTCAACCGTGCCAAACATAATATCCACAGTTCACGAGGCGGTAATTGACGGAAACGGCAATACCGTTTATGAATGTCGCACATATACTTTAAGTATTGCCTCAGAAATCTACATGATGATAATCATCCCAGTCCTGTTCTTCGGATTGCCTTTGCTTATACTGATTGTTCTCTACTCACTCATCATTCGCACTTTGCATTATGCCAACCCGGCGTTAAAGTCAGAAGACTCCAGAACTATTTCTTTTACTCCGCATAAAGTGGTGACGAGGGAGGGGTTGGGCAAGCACAAAGTGAGCCGCAAGTTGACTGCCTCGCGCCAGGTATTAACCGGCAGTGTACACGAGACAATCCTCGAGAAAGAGGAACAAGGGCAGGAACAAAAACTTCTTGCAAACACAGCCGTACAAGCATCGGAAAGGGCAAGAACGCGTGTAGTGTACATGCTTCTAACTGTGGTTACGCTTTTTTTCCTGTGTTTGTTACCGGAGAGAGTAGTCAATCTCTACTTCACCTTGGCGCCTAACGAAGATTTGATATCGCTGGGCGTCAACGGACACCTTAGCCTTGCGATTTTCTGTCGAGTGATGTTCTATATGAACTCAGCCGTTAATCCAATTGTCTACAATATTGCATCTACCAAATTCCGCGCCGCTTTTCTACGTGCCGTGGGGATTCGAAAGAGAAACCTTGGAAGGTCGGGTACCATGCTTACAACCGTCTCACGCTCGAGTCTTAGAATGAGCCAACGTAGCATAACCACTGTTTCAAAATGTTAGTCATTGGCATGTAATGGCAACATAGGTAACTAAACGAGCAGGTTAGACAATTCAGAAATAGAGTGGCCATACCTGTGACATATATGTGCGGCTGCCGGGTTTATGTTTAGAAATGTAGTCATCGCGTTATTAAAGGGAAAAAAATCGAAAATACAAATATCTAAACTTAAATCTTGCCTGCATATAACAACACACTTTTTTTTAACTTTCAGGATTGCAGATATACAACTAGACCCTCTTGCGACCGAGTTTATTCAACGGCGCCATAAGATGGGCATTCGCATATCTACGAAGAAATTACTGGGAATATAGTGTCATGCTATACTAACCCAAGACGTTTGATTGAGTAATGGGGATTTATGGAAATGTTCATGAGATATTTAATTTATTTGTGCTAATAGTATCATTGTTTTATTCAGCAAGCGTGTGTACCTATACATATATATATATAATATGTATATATATATATGAAAACAATATTCACATATCACATTATTTTATTGTATCTACGTTTACTGCATTTGTGTTGCAACCTACCTGTGTCAAGTTGTTATGGCAACATTTATATACGAATAGACATTCGATTTTATATTTACCATTGTCATGTTTTTTCGATTAATGAATTTAAATTTCGATACTTTTCTCTCGTTCTATACATTGTTTTGAATGTGCCCGAAGCGCTACATCCAAGTTACTGTTTTAATATATGGCAGTCTTTCACAATAACTTTAACGATATCTGTATATTTGAGTGTGTTACATTATATTCAATTTTCATAATATTGGTATTATTTGGATTAATATTTGTATTTTGTCTTTCTAAATATACGTACGTTGTGTCGCCTCTTCTGAAGATGCAATATGTTCTATTGGAAGATGGCAATAAAACCTGCATTATTTGTTACCCCAGCAATGAATTGTATGTAAATGAGTCACGGTGGGAAAGAATATCATATAATGGAGATATTTCATTTTCACATTGTTTATCAAACAAGCATGGTAGTACGCAAGGCTGTCGATTGTAGTTTCTCCGAGGCAGAACAGGTTGTCCATTGTGGGGGGTCATCGTAAGTTATCGGCATTTTGTGAATGATTAACTTTTTGAAGATCCAGGCAAATATCGACATGATTCTAGAGCGAAATATACAAGTTTGTACGAACTGCTACATAGTACATTTCAAGACGTGAGATGATTAAATATGCATTGGAATGACGGGTGCATACTTTCATCATTGCGTCTCTTCTGTTATCCCTATTAATGTTTTATCGCGAGTTATGTGAGGAGCAATAACATTTAGTACTTAGAGGAAATGCATCACAGTTAGTTACCAAATCATCATAAAGCGTCTTAGGAATCATCAAATACAGCTATGTTAACCTTAGCAAAGTTCTAATACGCATTGGAGAAATATACACACAGACGACATTATATAACGACGGCAACTGAAATGACCCATACATGTGACGAATCTTGATTATCCCTGGAAACGTACATACCTTATTCTTAATTAATGTTTTACAGTAACGTTCTAATTTTTATAGTTGCTCTTAGCTCATAATTTACCCATCCATTCAACCGTCGTATTGATTATATATATATTGGACTAGATCATGATATATAAACAAAATAATAATATTTTATTACGTCACCGCGTCACTATTAATTACTTCACTCACTATTAACCCTAATAACCGCACTCCACGTGAGGCATGTACAGCTCTGTTTCTGTTATCTACACTTTACATTGTCAAAATCAACAATCTATAAATAGTAATAATGGATTTCAATAGGAACAGGTGACCACACTGTAAATGTAAATGTTTTAAAATATGACAAATAATCTGCGCAGTTATAGAAAGTGTATATGATAAACACACTTTTAGTCTATGTTTTTGATTCCAATATTTCATAAATGTTTTTGCATATTTCCACCAGAAACACTTGTTAAAAAGTGGTTATAGTAACATCACTGTCAAATGTGTTTTTTTAATACTAAAATCACATTTTGAAAAATGTTTTCGCCAGGGACATGCATTGAAAAATGCTTATTATGACAACACATTTAATAGTTCTTTTACTGGACACACATTTTGAAAAAAGAGTTTTCATCAGAAAAATATCAACACTATGAAAAGTGCTTTTTAGAGAAACATGCTCACTAAAAATAAATTACCTCTATTACAAATCCCATTCTCACTCAATCCAAGAATCTGCATATCTGCACTACATTCATTCTATTTCATTTTCGTCCAATGGCGTGAGGGGTTGTTTATTGCTTACCTAATCAGAGTTCTACTGACACAGTGGACGAGGACAATGACCCAACAATATCCATAATAATGAACAAAATTAATTCTCAATATTAACAAAATAATCTCGCTTCGTTCTTTTATACTAAATCTACAAATATAATATATTCAAAATTCAGTGACTAATATTTAATCAATCATCATTATCATTTCGAACAATGCGATAATTTAGTCATAAATATTTGATCTAAAATATTATTGTTGTTATAAAGTATGTGGAAACGAAAATATGACTACACAGCAGTAACACGAATTAAAGTGCATTTTCTTGTTAAATTCTACCAAATGTTTTAATAATTTTATTTGGTGACTCAGGTCATTTATCTCTGGCCCAGTAATGCATGAACTCGTACTAACTCACCACTGCAAACAACAATGCAATACACAGATGTCGACGGTGGCTCTATCGATTAGATGTTTTGTAAGAGAGTAACAAAAATACCATACCTTCAAAATTATTTAGGACAAATACATTCTGGTTGTTTTATAAACTGGACGACAACAAAATATGTTCTTTTTTATTTTACCTCGCGCGTTAGTATGCGAGCGAGCGTCATTTTCACTTTATCACGGCCACTGGTAATCACGGTCATATAGTTAAATAAAGACAGAATACATTTGTCAATAAACGGGACCGATTTCTAGCGAGGGTTTTGACCTTTCCGTGGGCGTACTCCTTGGTTATATGCCATGTCTGCTGGGACCTAGTCTTAAGAACAAATGCATGTTTTTTTTTAAAGAGTGTATTACGACATTATGATACAATGAATAACTCGGTTTAGGGCAATGTCTGGTCACGTAAAGGCAGAATATACCTATCATTTTTAGAATGCAAAATATCTCGCAATAGACATCTGGATGATAGGTAACATACCTTCAACTTTTAATAACATTTCAAATTTTGAAACAAAGGTGCAAACTTCGAATCGGATCTACACTTGAACAATTCAAGAAATAGTATGCATATTGAGCGACGTTATCAGACCTTTCGGGACTTTTACTGTCACCTTTTTGTTACCATTTCATATGGTACTGAACAGATTAAAACCTTTCCAGAAACTTAAACTAAGAGAAACAAGTACTTATTGGTGTCTACTATAAGTAAGTGTTAGTAAAAAGTCGTTTAATATAGTTTGAACCAAGTTTTTTAGTATAAATAAGCTCTCTACTGAGTAGGTATAACATGTAATTATTGCTACATTATTACTATTTGTAGAGAGTCGTGGTCGTTACTATTTCTTACGTTCGACAAGGTAGAATACATGCGATCGCGAAGACCACAGCCTTTAATTTACAAATGGGCTAGCTTTTTATCACGATAACTAATTTGGCATATCGACAGCACGCCTTTAAAGAAGTCAGACTCTTTCGCCCAGTACGATGAATGACGCGTAATTATGTCTTTTATTCGTCATTAAACTCGAATTGTGGCCGTTTTTCCCTCGGTAGTGTCGCAGAAAAAATATAAAGTATTTTAAAATTACCAGGGTTTGAATAAATAACAAGTGTTAGGTTTAGATTGTGCCGTTGCCGGCATAACCTCGATATGTGATTACAAATTCCAAC